TTCGGATCCATATAATTTTATATTTCTGATGCATCCATCTTCTCACGCGAAATTATCATTGATTGTTTATATATATAGGTTCACATATATTGAATGTTTCTCACAGTTGGATTTGTTTTGTGCGTGCTTTGGACAATGCAGAAACCTCAAGACGAAACGTGATGCGTACATCAAGAGATTAAATGGCATATACGACAGAAACCTTAACAATTCCGGAGTGGATCAGATTACGGGATACGCCAAATTCGTTGATAAGAACACTTTGGAGATTTCAGGTTGGTCATCTATATCGCATATCTCGTCTTGAAAGTGTTGTGGAGAGGTTGTGTACGACATTTATATGCATTTTTTATGAATTTATCTACAGTTTGCGTGACATTTGTCTACAGTTCATAAATTACAAACCACAGAGAAACGATACTCGGCTGACTGTATTTTGGTGGCAGTTGTGGTGCACCTTTTATCCCAGTGGGGAGGGAAGTGTGCAAGTCTCACCCGTTGAAAGTGTAGTGTTGTTGTCTCACTGGCCATAGTGAGTGGGTTATTGCACCCATTTAACCGATGAATTGGACACAGTAAACAGCTCATTGCACCCATTTAGTCTAAGAATAGGCTATAGAGTAGAATACGTGGTAATATCCCTTTTACTACTCTAAGCGATTACATAGGCTATCATTGCGACAGGCACTGTACACTGGTGGTAATTGGAGGTACTTGCTTCGTGTCTAGTGAGGGGGGAGGCAAGCCAACACTCATATAAGTATTTACGCCTGTTTAAAATCACACTCCTATTTGTCACAGACCCTTAAAATGCCACAGACAAGTAAGATACCACGTCTATGAGAAAGACATAGCAATATACACTATAGCCGATTTGCCATTCTTATTTGGGTTTAGGGTTTACCAAGGTTAAAAAAAATCATCTCAGACTCACACAACCCACTCTACTGCACTCTACAGGCAAGCACTACAGCGCCGATCGCATTCTGGTGGCAGTTGGGGGCACCCCCTCCATGCCAAGTGAGGAGGCCTGTCCCGGCGGTGCCAAGTATGGCATTGATTCAGACGGCTTCTTTGAGCTAGAAGAGCTACCCAAGAAAAGTAAGTACTATAGTTGGTGAATGAACATGGTAATTAATATAGTTGATATATTGACATAGTAGGTCTTATTCATGGTGAAGGTACATAGTAAGTACTATAGTTGGTGTATGCGTGGTAAATGGACATATAAAGTCAAAGCTGAAGAATGAAATTAGTAATTATCATTCATGATCAATGAAAATAGTAAGTCCATTAGTTGATCAGTGAAGATAGTAGATATTATTCATGATCAATGAAAATAGCAAGTCCTATGGTTGTTGAATGAAAATAGTAAGTTTTATTCTTGTCGAATGAACATAGTACTACACTTGAGAGATGCTCTGTCGTGAATGGTAATAGAATTTGCACTCTGTAGTGCGGCAGTGTGTGCGTATGTGTATAACATTCATGTAGACATACTACACCATCTTTTATTTAGAGTTTTTAGATACATTCATGTAGACATACTACACCATCTTTTTTTGAAAGTTCTCAGTATACGTTCATGTAGCAATACTACACCATCTTTTTTTGAGAGTTCTCGGGATACGCTCATGTAGCCATACTACACCATTTGGCCACCCTTCCACACATGGCATGTAGCGTGCTGTCGTCCCATGTGCACACGGTGCTAGTTTAAGCATGGACTGTATTTCATTGAACCCTCACCGTACTATTAGCCCTAGTGTACGTACTGAGTGTGTTCGCTGTGCTGTTGGGTTATAGCGAGTCTGTTGGGAACCCATCCCTATCATACTTGTGGTGAAAACTAATGTGTTGTACCCAACTTACTGTGCAGCTGTGGTGAGTGGTGCTGGATATATTGCCGTAGAAATGGCCGGTATTCTGGCTGCGCTGGGCTCTGATGTAACCCTCTGCATCCGCCACGACCACGCACTGCGAACGTTCGACCAGGATGTCCAGGTGAGCCTAGTGCACTATCGTCAATCCATGCGTGCGTATGTATGGCAAGAGAGTTTCGTGTATATATATATATAATTTTATATATATATGTGTGTGTATGTATATAGGTCATCTACCGCTTATATCGGCATGCTGAGCCAAACCGCGTACATGCATGTGCGCTAGTTTGGTGCGGTGTGATTGGTGCACTTCAACCACTATATGTTTACGTATCAGTACAACAGTGATAATTGCTGTCTTTAGACCATCACACAGGTGGTGCGAGCTCTCATGATCGGAGCTCGACTTCATAGCAATGCTTGTTGGAACGGTCAAGTTAGATTAGCAGACATCACTGGAAACACGTGCTTATGCACCCGCTTGCACAGGAGGCTGCTAAAGCGACACGCATATGTATATGTATATGTGTATATATATGTGTGTGTGTATATATACACGACTTGGTAGCATTTGAGGGACTTGAGATTATTCACCCGCATCATGTACGCGCAAGTTTGTAGACCTTCTCACTCAGCTCCATCTTGATTGACTACCAATTCGAATGGAACAGGAGCTCTTGCTGGAGGAGTTGGCTAACACCGGTGTCAAGGTGGCCAAGAGAACGCAGGTGGTAGAGGCTGTCCTGGCTGAGAATGGCACCAAGACGCTCACTCTTGATGTAAGTTGGCGTATTCAGTTGTTTATTGCTGTGTCATATATATGTTAATGTTTATGTACGGATATATATATAATCGTGTGGTTTATACCTACAAAGTTTGGGTTACCGGCCTTTAATACCCAGGGTCTTAGAATAACAGCCCCGCTAGCATAGGTTACCATATCTGGGCTTATATTTTTATCTTGTGACTGGGATTGTGAGAGGAGCGGGGGGGGGGTTGGAAATAGGTTTCTATGCATATTGGACATAAAATAATCTTTCAAGTATGTACACCTACAGTGCGAATAGTATGATACTTGACACTTTGACGCTGACACTGACCATGAATACCTTCCGCCCTACACAGAATGAAGGCACCAAGAGCACCATGGAGGGTGTGGAGTGTATGTTATGGGCTATCGGACGTCACCCTCTCACCAAACAGCTCAACCTGGAGGCTGCGGGTGTAGAAACCAGCAAAAAGGGCCACATCAATGTAGACGAGTTCCAGAACACCAACGTGGACACCGTGTTTGCCTTGGGCGATGTTACCGGTATGTTTGTGTTTGTGCTGAGAAGATAGTGTTTGTGTATATGATACAATATTTATCTGTGCGCGGGCGTGTGTAAGTTCGTCAGTGTGTGTATAAGCTTGAATAACACAAACACTCGTGTTAACAGGCGAGTTAGAGCCTTGTTTGTGTTTTTGTTGCGACATGCAATTAGATGCAAGCAAAATCTAGTTACGTGAATGAGCATATGTGCTAGATCTCAGAGCGCTGCCCATTTATCTCACGCGCATGGGAAAGAGTAGTAACACATACACCGATGTACTCTCTATTTGAACAGAACACTCTTATTCTACCAACAAGATATGTATGTATGTATAGATATGTATGTATGTATGTATATATATCCATTGGATATATGTATATATATATATACATTGGATATATGTATATATATATATCCAGTTGGATATATGTATATATATATATCCGTTGGATATATGTATATATATATATCCATTATGAAGCTGTCAATTCGAATCTATATCCTATTCCACGCACACAGGAAAGTGGGAGCTGACCCCAGTAGCCATTGCAGCAGGCAGGAAGTTGGCTGCGCGTCTATACAACGGCGACCTCAACTCTAAGCTGGAGTACCACGACATCTGCACTGTTGTGTTCTCTCACCCACCCATTGGCACATGTGGCTACACGGAAGGTATGCTAATTGTGTATGTGAAGGTTGTAGACACTTTGTATATATATATATATATGCCTATCTACAAATGTTTTCTATTTCATGTAGATGTGAAGGTTCCAGACGTTATATATATATATATATAGTGTTCCTATTACTTATAGTAGTGTTTTCTCGGAGTTGAATTACTTTTTTGTGTGTGATTGTGAACTTTGTTGTGGGATTGACTATTGCAGTCAAATGTTCTCTACTAATATACGTACTCGTAATAGATTTGCTCGCATTGTTAGTTATTCCATCCTGGCGTCGGATTTGTCATGTGGTTTCTTTTGATGATACCATACTTGTTTGTTCATCTGTAGATCACATGAGAAGAGTTGTTCCTTTTAATGATACCATACTTGCTTGTTCATTTCTCTTTGTAGATACCATCTGTAGTTCACGTGAGAGCAGTTATTCCATACTTTTTTGTTCGTTTCTCGTCGGAGATGTGCGCTTTAAGCGTTGTACAGTGTATATTTCAGACACCTCATTGATCGCATCGCCGTCCCATTTCGCTCGCACAGAGGAAGCGAAGAAGATATACGGTGAGAAGAACATTAAGATCTACAAGTCCACGTTCACCAATATGTACCACGCAATGACCGAGAGGAAGACAAAGACTCTGATGAAGCTGGTTTGCGTTGTAAGTTTGCCTGTAGTACGAGAGACCAGATATCGTTGACCTTCGGTTGGCATAGTTATGAGATGGGACGTACCTGTGTGTATTGTTCTACTATTAAAATTCGCTTCACTTCTGATTCTCTCGTTAGTGGCCACTCCTGTGTAGTTATTTGTGTATGGCGAACGCCTTGGACGGCATGTATGGCCCTTCTGCTCTCATAAAAACATCCACACAGTGGAGATGTTCTGCGGTGCGTGTCAACACAACACCCCTGATCCAACTAGTTGTGTGCATTCGCGAGTCTTGTATTAATTATACTCAAGGTTTCGAGATCCCGCCAGCATATGCTGATAGTGTGAAGTTTGTTTCGTTTCGGTTGTTTTATATTTAATGCATGCCCCAATACACTGTTACATTAACGTAGGTACTGTTCCGTCTCGCACAGTGTATATATGTTGTATATACGATATGTGTATTGTATATACAATTTATTTGTATGAATATATATTGCATTTCATAACTCATCGTCACTTGTTTATGATGCTTTCGACGTGTAAATATATCGATAGCTGACGAAGCTCGATCATACTATGTCGACACCGATCCAGATGTCACCAACCTGACCAATGCTATCATACTCTCAGGGGACCGAGGAGAAGGTCGTGGGCATGCACATTATGGGCATTGGAGCGGATGAGATGACCCAAGGGTTCGGTGTGGCCATCAAAATGGGAGCCACTAAGAAAGACTTCGATAACTCAGTAGCCATCCACCCCACAGCGGCGGAGGAGTTGGTTACCATGCGCTAGATTATAGGCCTATAAACGAAGTGCCTTGTAGAAGACTGGATGGGCCTGTGTAGGATGTGTAGCCTAGAGTTGACTATTAATAAATGATTGTCACAGTATAATTGCTTATAAACGAAGTTCATTGCGGTAGACTATTATACGTATTGCTGATCTGGATTGTCATTGAGCGCTGGACCAATGATTGGATGTGTGGCTAACAATTCGACCCAAAATATCATCCACAGAATTGCTTCCGGAAGTACATCAGCTGGTATAGTGCATTCATAGCACACCATCGTCCACTCAAGTCGCCAAAAACTATGGGACACCCGGACAAGAAGTCCTCTTTTTATATTTCGGTACACGGCAGATCGCGCCCAATCTCTGCTACAGTCTTATACGATCAGTTGTTTTTCGGCAGCAGATTGAATTATTCGTGGGATATCTCGTACATAGTATACATTGTTCTCCACAGTAGAGTGGTATTCGGTGCACCTCAGCGTAATCTCGAGTTTGGGGAAAGAAACCATCACAAGCAAAAGTCTTCTATTAAACATGTCTTGAATGACTTCAATAGTAAACGTAATTCGATTTTTCATCGTGAGAAGTGCGGGTGTCGCATAATCACATAAAAACCGAGTTGCTACCTATTATACTAGACATCGAGGCACCCCAAGCAATCGTTCCATTATTAAACTGGACACCTGGGCAATGTAGGCAATAGTTTCATGCAGCATGAGTTACAAACTATTATACTAGACACCGAGGCACCCCAACGAATCGTTCCATGTAGCATCTTTACATCCTCGAGTAGTCTAATCATCATCTATTTATACCCAATCTGAGGCCCTTGCGGGTTAGTACAATCAATGCCAACCCCACGCCCGCGTATAAGAACACGTTCTTGACTCGCCTGCGCGCATTCACCACAGTCGCAGCCCAGTGTGGCTCGTCGGCGGTGCTGAAACTGTCTCTGCCCACCAACCGGTAGTGCCACGACGTACACGTGCTCAGGTACAGATACGGCCACAGCAGCATGTCTTTGAGCCGAGAGTTCAGTCCGAACGGATACGCACCCAGCAACCGGCTGATCCTGTCCTGGTAGATGATCGGGTTGACCAGATCTCTCACCCCCGCATCGCTCATCACCACATATTGGGCTTCGTCTCGCGCGGCCTTGGCCAGTTGCTCGGGCGGGCCAAGCGGCACCTTGCCGCTGAACACATACGCCACCCAGCGCGCCTGCATCTCAAACACGGGGAAACTCGACCCATACACATGGCACGCCCCCACATACGCCAGGCCGGGTGTCTTCGGAGGCCACACAAACTCGTGCAGCAGCGGCACGCGCTTGGGCGTGGCGGTGTCGTCTAAGACGTCCACGCGGTCGACCAGCGTGTCAGGCATCAGCGTGAGATCGGGTAGGTAGCCTGTGCAGAACACAATCACATCGCAGTCGTACGACGTCCCGTCCACAAAGAACACGCGCCGCTCACTCACGCGCGCGATAGCCGGGCACAGCTTGATGTGTCCCGCCATAATCAGCGCGCCCAGCCCTGAGTCGGGCGTGTAGTTGGCCATCATCTCCCACTGGGATGACCGCCTGTTGCCCTGTGGCGCGTCTGTGTTGTAGTCCGACGCGTTGAGTACGTGCTTGGCAGTGGCGAAGGACACGAGATTGCGCACCACGCACGGGAGGTACGCTAAAAACCGCGACGCGAATATGTCATACGGCCGCCCGTGGAAAAAGCGGCGCTGCAGCCAGATGCCGTCGCGCCTGACGCTCATGCGCGTCTCCTTGGCCACCTGATACGCTTCCAGGGCAATGTCCACGCCCGAGCTGCCGCTACCTACCACCAGCACCTTCTTCTTATAGAATAGAGGGTAGGCTGTATCGTACGCGCGGGAGTGGATGGAGATCCCACGGAAGCTGTGCAAGCCCTCGATCTCCGGGATGTGTTCCTTGCTGAACACGCCTGAGCACACCACCACTCTATCAAACACCATGTCCTCCGCATCCGAGCGCAGTGGCGTGTGTGTGTTAGCGTCATTTGCTCCGTCAACCTGTTGTTGTTGTTGTTGTTGTTGTGGTTGCTGAGATACGACGGTATCATGTCCAGCCCATTCCAACTGGCCCGGGTCAGCGTCAGCACTTCTACTACTTCCACTCGCACCCGCATAGCTCGGTTCCATCGTCCCCTGCGAGTCCGTACCCGTATCTTTGTTGACTATCGTACTACCCATACCACTAGTACTATCATTACCACCACGCTTGTGCTCCGCCTGTGTATTCCCATCCTCATGTAAGTGGTGGCTGTCGCTTGTGCATGTTGCAAGTTTGGCCGCTCGCGCCGTGGCAGCGTGCTTGTACAGAGCGTCCGAGTCCGAATGCGAATGGATCATGGCATGCTGCATGAGTCCACCCGCGCCGCCACTGTCCAGCCTGTTGTTCTCATGCAGTCTTCCATGCGTCGTCCGTGTCTGTGTCTGTAGCTGTGCCTGTGGATGTGTCTGTATCTGTATCTGTGGTTGTGTCTGTGGGGGTGTCTGTGTTCCGATATCCACTGGGAGGAATCTCTGTATTGTGATATCTACTTTGTCGTATGTGTAAGTATTATCGCCTTCCTCCCCACGCTCCGCCAGAGACGCGTAATCCGAGTTGGACCGTGTGGCCCACAGGCTACCACTCTCAGGCTCACCCACCCGCGGACTGTGACTGATACCATTGCGCGACAGAGGCGACGATATAGGCAGCCTACGTGACTGCAGAGCCAATGAATCGCCCAGCCCAGAGGTTTGATGTGAATTAGGGACAATTATCCCAGGTACCGAACTGGACGCGGGTGAACCAAACGCCGATAATCTGGGTAGCGATTGCGAGACAAACTCAGGCGGAGATCGGTAGGCAGACCCACTGCTGCCGTCATTCTCCTTGTGTATGATACCGTTACTTCTGTGGTCCGTGCGCGTACTGGCTGTGTCGATAGTGATGTTTGTGCTGTGCTTGACGGCCCCATTCCTGCTATCCCGGTCCGAGGCGTAGCTGCGCCCGGCGGTGTGATTCGCCTGGCTCGTTCGTGACGTGTGGTGGCTCCCAAACTCTCCGCTGCCACTCAGATCGGTGTGCGATTGGGACCTCTGTGTGTGTAAGTAGTCGCCCGTACTTGTGGGAATGTCCAGCGACCCATGGCTACCCCCATTCCGTTCACCGTAGCCGCTGCTTGCGTTGTGTCGAGTCTGCGAACTGCGCCGTGATTCGCCATTGGAAGCCCCTCCGTCGAACTCTGAGAAGTGATAGGGATCGCCCAAGTCCGAGGTAAGATCCTGCAGATCTACACTGCTGTGGTTGGGAGTGTGGGTGTTGTGATCGGCTTCGTTGTGGCTATTTATAGCACTATCTTTATCTTGACTGCCGTTCAGGCCATGATGTTCGTTGATGTGGTCGGATAGGCCCGCTTGCACCGCCTCGTAGCGTTGACGCGACATCAGTGTACCACCACCAAAGTGCTTCCCGGAATTCGATCTGCGCCGTGAGTGAAAGCTTAGCAAATCAATCTGAAGTACATGATATGCAACGTTCAATCCATCTAGCGGCTTGAGCAGATTGAGCAGATTGAGCAGATTGAGCAGATTGAGCAGATTGAGCGGGGTAAAAATCTAAGACAATGTCGGGGGACGAGTCAGAAGGAAGGCGTGTTGAACCGTATGTATGCTATGTGCCCTTCGTGACAACCACGGTAGAGGATATCGTTGTACATGAATAATGCTATAACGCTCCCACTACATCTGATATCATCCTACCGACACACATGTTCCCCTACAGTCCACCAATGCTGTACAAGACTCCCGTCACTTTTCGTATACCATCTCTTGCCTTCCTGGCACATCACATCATATGCAGCACACACGGTTCATAACTATACAGAGACAGTCGTATCCGAAATAGTAAGCTAACCACTTCTTATATGTAAGCGACCAGCTTCGTTTGTACCTGCTCCCTCGGTTTTGGATGGTGATCGAGGGCAGACTATTAGCGCGCACATATGACGGGGTCCTCCTTGCCGGCCGATGGACAGTTTCCGTGGACACCTTGAATTTTCCTGAAACAAATTTCAGACAATTGGTTGTCGCAATCAATCAACCGCTAATCAGACAGCCGGGTGTGAGCGTTCTACAACTTTGCTACACGCGGAGGCGTTTCCGAAATAAGTACAAGATCAATAGACCCTTATTTTACCACATAGCAGATGGATCAGCCAACAACCCATTGGGAGCGGAAAGTAATATATA